AAAACTGAGAGTGGTGTGATGGTGATTAGAAACACGCCGTTGCCGACTTAAACTGGTCTGGTTACACTGGGACTGGTATGGCAGTGATCAGGGACACTGTTGCTGGCTGCACTGGCTGTAGCAGGACTGGCACTGTTTCGGTGGTGATCAGGAACACTGTTTCTGGCTTACTCTTGTCTTACATATAGTTACATGGTTGGTCTGGTTGAAAAAAAAACGTCCATCCAGTTCAACCAATAGAAGGGAACAAAAATGATATGCAATCATATAAATATACAATCCTATACTCACAGTTGATCCAGAGGCAGGCACAACCCCCCCCCACCCTCCCACAATAAAGCATGATCAATTTGTTCCAGCTGGGGAAACAAAATCATTCCTGATCCCTCAAGAGGCAATCAGATACACCCTGGACCAATTTTACCTATAAATTAGTATCTAGTTCAGGGCTGGATCTAGCCTGTCCAACGTGGGGGTGCAGTAAAAAATGTCAGCGGGGCAGAGGATGTGAGATCAACAGGGCAGTGTATTGAAGTCAGTAGAGCAGTGTACAGGGGTGACCAGGGCAGAGAATAGGGTCAGCAGTTTTTAGGGCAGAGAACAGAGACCGTTAGTTTGTAGAGCAGTGTACAGTGGGTTATCAAGGCAGTGCACGGAGTTAGCAAGGCAGCGGACAGAGGTTAGCAGGGCAGTGTACAAGTGGTCTGTAGGGCAGGGGACAGGGATCATCAGGGCAGAAAACAAGGGTCAACAGAGCAGATGACAGGGGTCAGCAGGATGGAGAACAGGTGTTATCAGGGCAGAAGACAGGGATCAGCAGAGCAGGGTACAGGGGTCAGCAGAGAAGAGGACTGGGTTTACTGGTGGCAGATCACTCAGCAGAGCTCCTACTCCCATCCCCACACTGCACATAGCCTGGGCACTCAGCTAATCTCTTCCTCCTCACACAACACAGCTCAGATTGGATTCCCTTACAGACACAGCCTTGATCTGTAGCTGGGTACCGCAGTTGTGCTGCCATTCAGATCTGGAAATTTCACAGGTCAGAACTGCAACATAACAGCCAACTATACACTATGCAGATTGAGGGTGTATCTGTAAGGGAATCCAATCTCAGCTATGTACTGTGTGGGGAGGAGGAGATCATTTGAGTGCCCTGTGTGTAGCGCAGGCAGTGCTGGGACAAATATAAAACACAAACCAAAAAGCGAGCGCTAGAACACAAGCTGCTATAGCACCAGAAAGGCAACCAAAAAACCTCCAAAACCAAGATAATATAATAGGTGCAGTGCTAAAAGAACTTAAAACACTAATAAAATACTGGTATCATTTAAGAAAAAGATGTACTATTAAAAAGTGCAAATATAGTGCTATTATGATAAAGTGCAGGTAATAAACCAATCAACAATAAATATAGGAATAATAAATGAATGTCCAAATAAAGTGCTATTATTGTAAAGTGATGATAGTAAGCGACTATCAATTATACAAAGGGGAAAAATCAATGTCCATGAAGGTGACAAAAGTGGAGAGCCAGATAAGTATGATCTCAAATCGGTGTTCCACGTGCTAAAATCAATAATTCGGTGATGTGCCAGGAATGTGGTAAGATTACACACTCACCAGGTGTGTAAATATAATACGCATGTATAGATACACAATATGGTCAGCCGTCCTCCGTGATGGGCTCTGTGGGTTTGTTATCTCATATAGAGCCAAAGAAAAGGATGCCCATAGTGTAGTAATTCTTATAAATACATTTATTTATTCCATCCGTAGGATAAATCAATGTTTAAGCACAAACAAATGCACTGACCATTCGAAATCCAAGATGGCCACCTGCTCTAGGCTCCGGCGGCGTGACGTCACGACGTACAGCTCCTCCTTGATGAGTTTTGTGCCAACGCACTTAGTCATAAGGGGTGTGCTGGGACAAGGTCATCTAGCACCTAGAGTGAAGATGACAAACTGCGCCACTGAAGTGTAAACATCCCATCTCATCCTCCCCATCAAAAAAAAAAAAGAAAAAAAGGGGATTGCATTAATTAGTATACTCTCCCCCTAAGCACAAATTCAATCTGCAAGCTAAAATTATTTCACCCAAAAAGTCCCCCCCTCCCAGGTTCAAATCCACCCTCCCAGTACAAATGTTTGCCCCCCAATCCTGCCTTCCATCTCAAATCCCATACCAATTTCCCCCTTCTAGCACAAATCTCCATCACCTCCCAAAAATCACCCCTCCTAGCACACATTCTCTCTTCTCAAATTTCCCATCCTAGCACAAATTCTCTCCCCCAAATTTGCTCCTCCTATCATAAATCCCCTTGCACAATCTCCCCCCCCCAGTCACCACTATTAGTCCAAATTCCTCCACCCCCTACTGACACAAAACTCCCCGCCAATACCACCTCACAGCACAAATTCTCTCCCCCTAATCTCCCTTCCTAGAACAAATTCTCTCCAATTCCTCCCCCTAGCACAACCCCCCCCAATACCCCCTTAGTACAAACCCCCCAGCACAAAAATTCCTCCTAATCCCCCCTTCTGGCTCAATTCCCCCAAACCCCCTCCTAGCACAAATCTCCCCCCATCCCCCCCAAATTCCTCCACCTAGCGCAACCCCTACAAATTACCTTTCTCTGGACAAAACCTCCCTTCCCACCCGAATCCTCCCTCCTAGAACAAATTCTCCCCAGGCCCTCCCCTTAGCATAACCCCTCCAAATGACCCCTCCCAGGACAAATCTTCAAATCCGCCCTCCCTACCCAAATCCCACTAGTCCCCCTTCCTAGCACAAATCACCTCCAATACCCCCTTAGTAAAAACCCCCAGAACATACATTCCTCCCAATCCCCCCTTCTGGCTCAATTCCCCCAAACCCTTCTTTTAGCCCAAATTCCCCCACCTCCCTTCTTGCACACAACCGCCCTCCCAAACAAATTCCCCCCAATCCCTCCTCCTAGCACAACCCCCTACAAATTACCTTTCTCAAGACAAATCCTCTCTCCCTACCCAAATCTCCCCTCCTAGCACAAACCCCCCCCCCCAATCCCCCCATCTTACCACAACCTCCCAGCACAAAAATTCCCACCAATTCCCCTTCCTGGCACATATCATCCCTCCCTCATTCCTTCTCCTAGCACACATTCCCAAATCCCCCCAACTCCCCCTTCCTAGTGCAACCTCACTAACCCCTTCCCCCTCACCTTACAGAGGGGGAAACTGCTACAGAGCCAGGAGCAGGCGTGGGTGGTGCTTTCCCCTCCTATCAGAACAGCAGTCCTTTATGCAGCAGACAACACAGGATCTCTCTTCTGTCGGGCTGCACACACGGTTTGATTACCCGCTTCCTATGTCCTCCAAGGACTAATAATCACCTGACAGCAGGACACGTGGGTAGGGAGCGGGTAGTCAAACCGTGTGTGCTGCCCGACAGAAGAGTGATCCTGTGTTGTCTGCTGCATAAAAGAATGCTGTTCCAATAGGAGGGAAAAGCGCAGCACCTGTCTACAGCCTCTCTCCTGTCTGCTACTCCTCCTCCTTTTCGGCCTTTCCCTCCCCTTGTAGGCTTGTACCGGTGCTGACTGCAGGGCTAGAGGAAAGTAGCCAGGCAAAGTATCGATTGGGTGGCTGGCCTGGGGGGGCACAATGGAAATCTGGGGGGGGGGGGGGTGGTTCCATTCCTTTTCCTTCTTATTTAGTGCACGACATGTAAGTTGTCATGGTCGTATCTGATTCTGTTGGCTGGGTGTTTCTTAACCTCCATTTGAACTAGTATATGTACTATTGTTTCAGAACACACTACCTTCTTTCTCTTGTTAGGGCCCACACATCTCTCAGGCCTCCAGCATCTGTCGGATTACATTCACTACCACTACCTTACAGTATGTGCAAATCCATTGAATAGCTTTTGTAAGTTATCGGATGTTGTTGCCTTGGTAACACTTTTTACTTGTGTTATAGCACTATATTATGTTGACGAATCATGTATACCAGTTGTGTAATGTCTGTTTCTTTGCCTATTTAGAAATACTCATTATAGCTCCTGAAAAAGCAAAAATTATCGCAAAACATGTTGAGCTTCGACCTAAATACATCAAGAAGCCCCATCTAGCACCTTGCCAAGCTGTGGTTGACACACAATATATGGTACTTGGGCAGTCTAAAAAGTTGTTTTAATAAGTCTATGTCTCTTTCAAAATTCTTAGTATTATCAGTATTTAGGATGAGGTACTGTTGCACCCACAGTGACCACCCTATTTAATGTCAACTTAAAGTGAGTAACTCTAAACCATGCTCACTGTATGAACCACTTATGTATTTATACATGTTGATCAAATCCCCCATTAATCAACTGATCTTTGTGGTCTTTTAATACACTCTAAAGCTTAAAATTTCAAGTCCTAAGCTACTAGCCAGGCCTTAAGAGTTACTCGCCACCAGTTGCCCCACCCAACCCCTACCATGCTACACCCCTAATTCCGCCCCTAAACACGCCCTCATAAATTATTTCATGAAATGACGCTGTTAAATGTTTCCCACATTACATCAGGGTCCCCAGAGTCCCCCCACATTACATCAGGGCCTCCAATGTCCCCCTAAACACTCCATCATACTTAGACCATGCACCGCATACAACCATAACCGCCCATAATCTTTCACTCACAAAACCATAACTCTACCAAGCATATCCTACCTACTATCCAAATCAGCAGTACCTCAAATGCCCCATACTCTACCACCCATAATAACCACATACTCCTGAACCTGACCAAACCACCCATACATGTAGGTTTACATACAGACACATGTACATACACACACAAACAGAGGCACCTGTACACACACACACACACACACACACACACACAGACGTACACACATACACACACAGAAACATGTACAAACACGCACAGAGACACATGTACAGACACACATACATGTACATACACACAGACATGTACATACACAGAAATACACATGCACATACACACAGATACATGTACATACAGACACGTACGTACATACACACAAATGTACATGCACACACACACACAGAGACATGTAGACACACACACATACATGTACATACACGCAGACACATGTACATGCATACACAAAGACACACACAAACACACACAGATACATGTACATACACATACAAATACACACACACATACAAATACACACACACAGCCCTAAAAAAAGTTTCAGTACTTCGTTACCTTCACGCACAGAGCCGGGTACTGCACTCTAGGGGGAGGCAGAGAGCACAGCCCACTCCTTCCTTTGCTTTCACTTTGCTCAACTATTGAGCAGTCTGACGGCTCCCAGTGCGAGTGACAGATCCGGCCCTGAGTTCCAAGCCTGCTCAGCAAGACGGCCCTGGGGACACACTCGCCCCCACCATAATTTCCACTCGCCAATGCGAGCAGAAATTTCAACGCCTGCTCTAAAGTATCTTTCCAACTAAAGAAGTTAAACTAACCAGTCTGTAGTTATTTGGTAAAGACTTTGAACCATTTTTAAATATAGGCACCACATTCACCTTATGCCAATCCAGCTAAACTATGCCAGTCATTAAAGAGTCCCTAAAAATTAGAAACAATGGCTGTGAAATAACAGAGCTTAATTCTTTTAGGATATGTAGGTGTAACAGGGGCGGACTGACGACTCATGGGGCCCCTGGGCAATAGGGGGTCATGGGGCCCCTGTGTCCTTGCACAAACTCAAAAAAGCCTATGAAAAAAAGGTACCAGGGGCATCTCATGGGGCTCCCTACTGACCCCGGGCCCTCGGGCAGTGCCCGAGTTTCCAAATGGTCAGTCCACCCTTGAGGTGTAAACAGGCTCGGACTGGAAGAAAAAAATAGGCCAGGGCACTTTGGACTGAGCAGCCCAAAGCCCAGGGACCCTTTCCTCGGAGTCTGGTGGCGGAACGCCAGGCCCCAGTCGCAAAAGCGACCTTTGCAACCCTGGTAATTCCGACACTAGTGTGAGTAGGTATTTATTTAATATTTCACAATTTTATATTCTGAATTTTTTTTACATTTTTTGTAGGCGTGGAGGAAAAAAAAAAGAAAGAGGGAAAGAGAGAGAGAGAGGGGGGGGGGGTAGAGGGGAAAGGAGAGAGAGAGAAAGGGGGGCAAAAGGGAGAGAGAGAGGGAAAGGGAATGATAGAGAGACGGAGAGAGCGAGGGAAAATGAGAGAGAGGGAGTGGGAAGAAAGTGAGAGAGCGAAGGGGAGAAAGTGAGAGAGCGAGGGGAGAAAGAGAGAGAAGGGGAGAAAGAGAGAGAAGGGGAGAAAGAGAGAGAAGGGAGAGAAAGAGAGAGAAGGGGAGAAAAAGAGAGAAGGGGAGAAAAAGAGGGGGGAGAGGGGGATAGAGAGAGAGGGGGGGATAGAGAGGGGGGAGCGATGGGGAGAGAGAGGGAGAGAGAGAGAGGGTGGAGAACGAGAGAGAGAAGGGGGAGAAAAGAGGGGGGGGAGAGGGAAAGAGAGGGGGGGAGAAAGAGAGAGGGGGGAGAAAGAGAGAGGGGGGAAGAGAGAGAGAGGGGGAGACAGAGGAGGGAGAGAGGGATAGAGAGATGGGGAGAGATAAAGAGAGAAAGAGAGAGGGAGAGAGAGGGGGGGGGGGATAGAGAGAAGGAGAGAGGGAGAGAGAGGGGGGGATAAAGAGAGGGAGAGAGAGAAAGATGGAAAGAGAGGGAGAGAGAGAGCAAGGTGGAAAGAGAGAGAGGGAAAAAGAGAGCAAGATGGAAAGAGAGAGAAAGATGGAAAGAGGGAGAGGGGAGAGGGGGGGGGGGTGAAAGAGAGAGAGGGAGTGGAGAGGGGGGAGGGAGAGGGAGAGAGATGGAGAGGGGGGAGGGAGAGGGAGAGAGATGGAGAGGGAGGGGGGGAGAGGGGAGGAGAGAGAGGGAGAGAGAGAGGGGAGAGAGGGGGAGAGGGAAAGAGAAAGGGAGAGAGAGAGAAAGAAAGAGAAAGAAAGAGATAGAGAGAAAGAGAGAGAAAGAAAGAGATAGAGAGAAAGAGAGAGAATGAGGGAAAGAAAGAGAGAGAGGAAAGAGAGAGAGAGAGGGAAAGAGAGAGAGAGAGAGGGGGGGGGAGAGAGGAAGAAAGAAAGAGAGAGAGAAAGAAAGAGGGAAAGAAAGTGTTCCTGACAATATGGAGAAAGGAACTGAACGGAACCGGTCTCCCAGTCAATTTGGGGGTTATGGGCCTGCAACCAAGGAAGCCCCAAAATGACTGGGAAAAGGGGAGACGCAATGGCGTCTAGTCGGAGGAACTCCTGATGGTGACCCGCTACCGTGGTAAAAATAGGGGGAGTCTCCTGATCTACCAGTCCCGACTTAATCCGTGATTCATCGGTCAAAAATATATTAAGGCCCTGTTCTCTACTCTGGAGGGGAATTTTCTGCTGATGGGCAAAGTTTAGATCCACGAAACAACTGCATGCTCCGGAGTCAATTATAGCAGTCACCTCCACGGTTCTTCCTGGGAGCTGGAAGGAAATAGGTATGGCTAAGTAACTGGACGGTCTTACATTTTTAGCAGATATAGAAGAAAAAATAGAAGCAGACTTACTCGCTTTCAGTGGACAGGAACGCACCATGTGACCGGCTACCCCACAGTACAGGCAGAGATTTTTGGATCGTCTCCTCTGGCGTTCCTCAGGTGACAGAGACAGCCGAGCCAGTCCCAGCTGCATGGGCACATGGGTATCCACAGGCTCTGGGGTCCGGTTCCCCTCTAGTGTAGGTTGGACTGTTCCCCGGGCGGGTGCCCAAGTTGTTCTCTGACCCTGGCTGGTTCTTTCAAACCTGCGTTCCCGCAACCTACGGTCTATCTGGATGGCCAGTGAAATAAGGTCCTCCAAAGACTCGAGCAGACCTACTCGGGCTAGCTCATCTTTAATGGCTTCAGAGAGCCCAATGCGGAATTGGTGGCACAGGGCGGCGTCATTCCATTGAGTATCTCCCATCCATCGTCTCAATTCCGACGCATATTCCTCCGCTGCCCGACGGCCCTGTCTAAGGGAGTATAAGGCAGATTCTGCGGAGGCTGCCCGCTGCGGGTCGTCCTAGATTATGGCCATTGTCTCGAAAAAATCTGTTACTGTTTTCAGGTGGGGATCTTGATTCTCCATCAATCGATGGGCCCAATCCTGGGGCTCATCCTGGAGCAGGGAAATTATGAATCCCACCTTGACTGACTCCGTGGTAAACGTGCGAGGCTGCAAACTGAAGTACAGGAGACAGGAATTCCGGAAGGCCCTGAACCATGCTCGGTCCCCGCGGAAGCGTTCTGGTAGGGGAACGCGGGGTTCAGAAGTAGGCAGTACTGCTGATGCTCCCGTGGATGGTCCTGAAGATTCCCCGGATGGGGCCGGAGAGGCCGGGGTCTGGGAGGTGGTGTCCATATAGTCATTGTCTGGAAGCGGTTTTCCAGATGGGTATATCGATCCTGAAGGGCCGTGACAGCTTGAGTCAGGGCCCACAGGTGCCGGCATATGTCCTCCAATGGGGAGGGTCCTCCTCCAGACTCTGTCATGGCCGAATGGTACTGTAAAGAGCCGTCTAGTTGTACCTCTAGTAACCCACGGATCAGGTTCCCCCAGAGCGCGGAGTCTAAGTCCCGATTCACTTGTTCACCAGGGCCCCTGATGGTGGGGATGGAATTGGAGTAAACCGAGACCAGGTCGCGGCTCCAGAGTACACCTACCCGTGGTAGAGGAATTCGCCAGAGGCCCCCGCAGGGATAGAGTCTGATGTGAAGAGGCGGATATGCCCAGGCCAGGTGGATGGATGGATGGATGAGCGAGAGCGTAGTCAGACAAGCCGAGTCGGTAGCCGTGGGAGCGGTACGGTACAAAGCAGCGGGCAGAGAATGGTCGGGTCACACACCAGGTCAGCAACAGAAGATCAGGTCCATAAGGGGGCATCCAGGAGAGAGGTTAGGCAAGCCAGGGGTCAGAGCAGGAGAACACAGCAAGGTCAAGACGATCCGAGTCAGCAACAGTAACTCAACAGCACAGGTACAGAATCAAGGACACAGGGATGCAGGAAAGAAGATTTGGCGATTCCTGTCAGTGCAGGGCGGATTTAAATATCGCGCCCTGCGTTGTCATTGGTGCCAGGCGCGCACTCGCGGCTCCGAGTGCGCATGCGCGGATTTCATCTCAGCCGCGGCCGGCCAGGACCTAGTGTCCGTACACCAGCGTGAACGGGCATACTGCGCCTGCGCCGAGCCGCGGATCGTGGCGGATCCTGACAGAGACGTATAGAAAAAGGGAAGGAGGTAATGAGGGAAGGAGGGAAAGAGGGAAGGAAGGAGGGAAAGAGGGAAGGAAGGAGAGAAAGGAAGGAGAGAAAGGAAGAAAGAAAGAAAGGAGAGAAACAGGAGACAGCGAGAGAGAGAGAGAAAGAAATCGAGAACTATAAAAAGAGGAAATAATCAATAGAGAAGATGGGACTTTCAGGGTTCTTCAGGGAGAAGCCCGTGAGGGCGAAACATGTAGGGAGTATACCACATTTACCTAACCAAGTTTGAATTTCAGTTGGTATTCTTAGAATTGAAATTGTTTTTATGTTTTTGTATTTTTTCCTTTGTGTTTTTTTACCAAAATACGAAATAAAAATTATTTAACTTTTAATGTGTGGTATTCATGTCTATGAACCCTGAAAGTCCCATCTACTCTATTGATTATTTGCAATTGTAAAGGATGTGGTGCAATAATCATATCTGGTCACTCGCTCGTCACTTTACTGTTCTATAAAAAGAGAAAGAAAAAATGAGAGAAACGGGAGAGAGAGAAAGAAAGGAGGAGGGGGGCCACTGGAGGAGATGCGGGAGGAGGCCACTGGAGGAGATGAGGAGTGAGGCCACTGGAGGAGATGAGGGAGGGGAGCCACTGGAAGAGATGAGGGAGGGAAGCCACTGGAGGAGATGAGGGAGGGGGGCCTCTGGAGGAGATGAGGGAGGGGGGCCTCTGGAGAAGATGAGGGAAGGGAGGCACCCACAGGGGAGATGGGGGGGCCACGGGGGGAGCATACAGGAGCTGACCACATGCAGGAGATGGATAGGAGAGGCGGCTGGATGGCACATAGAAGAACCGAGAACTGTACAGTCCACTAGGTGCCGCCTAGCCGCCTCTCCTATCTAGGCAGCCCTGTGTAAGCCATACAGTTCAGGTGCTTTTTCATCTTTATTCTGTCTAGATTTTTTTGGACCATATCAATTTTGAGCCATAGTGGTTCATTTGGGGTTATTTCAATATTATCCACATTATGAACTTGAACTTCACCATGTTCCTTTGTATACCTAGAGATGAAGAAGGTATTTAAAAAAAATTTGTCTTCTCTTCGTCCCCAGTCAAAGTTATTATGTAAAGGGCCTACATGCTCAGAACTGAACTTTTTACTGTTAATATATTTGAAGAGTCTTTGGGGGTTTGTCTTACTTTC